GCAAAGAGTGCACCGGTCCAAGCCATGGGCTGTCAGCTTCTCCAGGACAATATTGTGGGAAACAGCATTGAAGGCTTTGATGAAGTCTAGGTAGACAGCGTCCACAGCCTTTCCCTCATTCTGAGAATGACAGCTAGATCTGGATGAAAAAGTTACTATTTTCTCTGCTATCATGCCTTCATCAAAAATACAGTTGTTAGAAATTCCACGTTTCATTCTATTAGTGATTTAAATATATATCTGTATCAAAGTATGTTGGCTGAAATTGTCAAACAATTGATGTCTGACAACCTTTGATAACTGAGGCTAATTTTTAACTTATATTTAAACTAAATACTTGTAAGTTCATTTTGTAAGTTAAAATGGATTATTGATTCTGTGTATGTTATCAGGATGATTTACAAAGAAAACATTACAGACAAAGCCAATATTTACATCACCTTCTGACTGACTTATAAAGCAGTGCTTTTTTTTTTTTTCTTCAGAAAAACCCTATTTCATATAAAACAATAGGATAAGAGATTTTTCCCATTGTAGAGATGTTGTTTACACAGAATCACAGAATTGTAGGGGCTAGCAGGGACCTCTAGAGATCATCTAGTCCAATCCCCCTGCAAAAGCAGGCTCCTCAGACCAGGTTGCACAGGTATGTGTCCAGGCAGGTCTTGAATGCCTCCAGAGAAGGAAAATCCACCATCTCTCTAGGCAGCCTGTTCCAGTGCTCCATTACCCTTACTGTGAAGAAGTTCTTACACACATCTGTGCGGAACTTCCTATACTTCAACATGCTTAACTCAAGTGTAAAAAGTAGTCACTATAAATACAGCATCTACAAATATTTTAAAAACTGAAATATTTCAGTCAAGTTCATTTGCATAGAGTGGGAATCACTTTATTTTCTGTGCATTTGTCAGACTCATTTCTCAAACATTCTGAAGATGAACTGAGCATGCTTGATGAAACTGCACAACTAGTACAAAATAGCACTAGCATGAAAGCTCCCTGTTCAGCCAGGTCAATCTTCTTCTCTGCTAGCTTGTCTCATGGCACAGGGTAACGGCCTGCTCTTGTGCCTTTAAGATCTCCCTTCTTGGTCAGTACTGTATTTCTGGCAAACATCTGGGAAGTTGAAGTTCCCCACAAGAGTAAGGCCTAGCAATATTGTGACTTCTCCCAGCAGCTTGTAGAATACTTTATCTGCCTCTTCATCTTGGTTGGGCAGTCCATAGCAGACTCCCACAAGGATATCAGCCTTGCTGACCTTCCCCCATCCCCTTACCCATAACCTTTATCAATACTAGCATTGAGCTGCGCAAAACCAAAACGCTCCCTAACATACATAGACCACTGTACTGCCTCTTCTTCCTTGCCTGTCCCTTCTGAAGAGCTTATAGCCATCAGATGTTGCAGTGCTCCAGCTGTGTGATTCCACAAGGTTTTTTGATGGTGACGTGTCATAGTTTTTCTGCTGCACAATGATTTCTAGCTCCTCCTGTTTGTTGCCCATGCTGCACACATCAGTGTAGATGCACTTCAGCTGGGCTGTTGATCTCACTGTAGAAAAGGAATGCATGACATTTTGTCTGAATAAGGCCTTTCAATTCAGTACATGCCCCTAATATAGCAAAGACTTCTTTCCTGAATATGCTTTAAAACTATGTACTCTTATGCCAATGATAAATTACTTTAATGTAGCAATAGGATCAGTGTTAATATGCAAGTGAGTTTAAATTATAGGCAGAATATCTTCTCATGTTCAGTTGTAGAGTTGTCTCCCATAAAGCACTGAATAATTTCAATCGCTTTTGCATTTCCTGGACACTGAGCATTTTACATTCTGATTTTGTATCTCATGCCCTGTACAACAAACTTCATCAGGAAGAGTTCAGCCATTTCTGGAAAGCATAGTTTTTGTGTGAATAAATAGCCACAGGCTTGGTTAACAACTCTGGTGTTTTTGCCTTTCAGAGCACAAACTTGAAATGTAATGATGACTCTTGTGTGTGCCATCAGAAGTGCTGAAATATCTTCATTCATAGTATATATTACTGCAACTATTAAAATACTGCTCAAGCACTGTGATGTGCTTTGCTAGTAGGTTTCATGGGTGCAAATTTATAGCAGAAGTATGACAAGTTATGACAGTAATGATTTAGTAGGTGTGACTCACAGTAGGAGGGTAGATGAGTCTACCTTGTTACCATACCCCTTTTAAATCTTTTTCTGGCTATGTCTCTAGTCCACTTGTCACTGCCTACCTTTTTTCCATTCCACAACTTTCTCATTTTGAACACAGTGTTTTCCCTTCTAGTCATGCTGTCTAGTTGAAGATTGAGTCAGAGTTTATAGAAGGGAAATATGTATGTCTGAATATTTATACTTGCTTTCTTTGCCACCAAGTGACAGTTAACATTTCCAGACATCCTGTCCTTCAGTTTTCTAACTGGCTTTCAGCACTCTTCTTAGTTTGTCCTCATTTTTTCCAGTTTCTTGTCCCACACTTTCCACAATGGATTAAACTTCTTTCTGCATGCTTTTCTTTGTGATACTCATTCATTCTCCCCACTTATCTGATTCCTCTCAAAGCTGTCCATGTGACCAGCAGACCTGGTCTCATCCCTCCTAAAAATCATCTTCCAGTGTAAGTATTGGTAGGAGATTCTTTTCTTCTTCAAGCCCTGACTCCTCTTTGATATCTTTGCTTGCCTCACCATATGAAAGATTTTACTTATTTTTTCCCAGTGTTTTTTATAATACTGTGACAGAGAAGTAGGGGTGGCAGAAACATTCAAGTTATATGAAATGAAGCTCTAAAGGACTAGAAAATGCCACAGTTCTTTGCGTCAGCAACCTTAGTCTGAACCCATTGCAAGATATGACATGGTACAGGCTTTGGATACGAGAATGTACTCTCATACTACTTCATAAATATATATTAAAAACATCATTTATAAACTTCGTTATGCTTATAAAATCATATATTCAAACCACTGAGGATAGATTAGCTAACGTTAGCTGATGCTATTCAATGCCAAAGGGTCATTCAGTGCTTCTGGACGAACCGGTATCTCCTGCAGCAATGCACCACTTAAATGCAGTAATGCAGTACACATTATGATTGGCAACAGCTTTTCAGTAAGTCATATCACAAGAAGTAAGGTTTACATATGAACAGCTGATTAAAAGAGAGATAGAAGAATGAAGAATATGCAGTCAGTCCCTGCACTAAAGAAAGGACACCAACACGTTGTCCGCTCATTCCAGGGAGTGCAGTTACGTTTGCGGATTATACCAGTTTTGTAGTTGCCATTGCTGTTGCAGTTTTAATATTGTCAGGGAAAATTTGCAAAGAACTACAAAGGGAACTTCTAAGTGTAAATGAATGGAAAATCAAACGGTGGATAAAATTCATTCCTGTTATTTGTTATAAATGTATTGACAGAGGGAAGAAAAAAGCTAATCATACAAAGTTACCTCTCAAGAGTAAATTATTAGGCTTATGAGTATTCCGTGAAAACTTCATCTCAACAGCAGTCAAGAAAGTAAAGCTGTTGTTATCAGGAGGCATACTGTTGTTATCAGGAGGGAACATTGCTACGTTCTGATCCTCTGATCAATCCTGAGATTGTTTGCATCTGTGCAATCATAATTACTCCATCTCCACCAAAGATCAAAAATGATGTACTGGAACAGAAGGAACTGTGAAGAAGGCAAAAAAGGTGACTGGCGGTATTAGAATGGCTGCAGTAGAAGAAATGACCAAGAAAGTTTGTAATTTCTTGCTGCACAGAAAGCAAACAATTGAAAGAGGCACAGGAAAGAGGTTTCTGAAAGCACAAAGAGCATAAAGAAAAGAGAAGTGACAGTGAACAGGCAATCCCTTGTTAATAGTAAAAACTGGGGGCATCAAAGAACATCAGCAGGGCTGAAGTTTGAAACAGGACAGAGGGGACTTCTTCATGAAAGGCCTAAGTGAGCAGCGGGCCTCCTTGTGGCTGGATATTGTGAATGTCAGATGTTTATTTACCTGTGCTCTGGGCCAAAGAAAAACCTTTGTTCTGTCTAGCACAGCTCTTGATTCCCTGGAGCCTTGGTGCATACTGCTTCTCTAATGCTATTCCTACCAGAGAATATTCTCATGCTTTTACAGTCTTATGAATATAGAGGCTGAAAGTGTGCAGCTAAAAAGTTTGTGTTGCAGAGTGAGGAGGAAAAGCTGAACTGCTGAACAGAGAGATGACCAGAAGTGTAAGAACACCCAGCCCGGCAAACTCAGTGAACAAGTGAGAACTGCAAGAGCAGAATTGTAGTCTTCCATTTCAAATGTTAAGGAATGCAAACAGTTGGCAGAGCTGAGAAAAGTAAACAGAACTTCTGCCTGGAAGACAGAGGTTTTTAACCAGCAGGAAAACTCCAGCATAGATGAAGACAGCTGGAAACAGTAGACAAGTTACACACTCATGTCCTCATTGAAATGAGACTTGCTGGATCTAAAAAAAGAGACAAGCAGCTAAGTTAAATCAGAATGGATATGTACCAGTCTTACTGCCCACGTTGAGAGCAGGGTATAACTAGCTGACATCAGGGACCTGTTAGTACTGCCTGGCTCTTAAGGCTACAAATGACCATCAGAAACTCACAGAATCTCAAGATCCAGCAAGAGTGAATTAATAGACTGCTTTAGGGTCTATTTAGATTTAGGGATTTAAAACTAATGGAATGCAGGGGAAATGCTTTGCTTTGCCTTCTTTTATCCAGCGGTGTTAAAAATATGCAGCACTGGTCAGAAATCCCCACAAATGTGCCCACACCACATTGATGGCTCTTTCAGCAGCACTTTGTGAGGATCATCTGCAGGAACAGCGTCACATCTGTGGGAGCAGCAGAGATGTCGCTTCCTTTGTCAACGAGTTTTCTGAAATCAGAGAAATGCTGTGCTGCTGTTTCTCAGGGAACGCAGTAACTTCAGGCAGTGCCACAGAGCGACAGCCCTGGGGTGGTGAACGGCAGAGAGGGGAGTCCATCCATCCTTCCAGTGCAGAGGTGGGAAGTTTTAGGCTGTGGTCTGACGGAAAGTCTACGTGGAGTCAAATTTCAGAGCTGGAGCCCTGAACTGCAGTGAGTCACACAGAGAGCCTGAGAGCTGCCTTTGTTCCACTTGTGTCTGAACGTTGGAGGAGAAACAGCAGGCTCCAGTTTTCTGTAACTTGTTTTCAGAAGTATAAAATTCATGTTCACTGAACATTTTCCGCCCTTGAGGTCTTTCAACTGACTTTCAAAAAATGCTGTCATGGTAAGAATTCTCACTTCTACGTTATTTTTTTAACCCTCATGTTTCTGTATTACATTTTTTGTCTCATTCTTTTCCTATCCTCCTCCTTTTTTTTTTTTCCTTTTTTTTTTCCCTTTTTTTCCTGCACACCTGCTTCAGTTGTGCCTGGTGGAGCTGGAATGTGCTGCTACTGTTCTTAGGCTTGTCGATCCATGCTTGTTCAGCAGCTCAGGTCATAGAAGGTAAGACTTCTCCAAATCACTTGTATAAATTGAGAGTAAGAGTTAATTTTAAGATAAGCTTTCTCAGTATAGGAAGAGACTCTAAACTGAAGTTCTTCATTTTCTCTGCTGCTTATGGTTCTTGATTTCATACAGGGAAGTTGTTGCAAGTTAAGAGCTTAAATTGCTGTTCTTTCTGGAAAAAGGAAAATAGATGCATTGGTCCCCATGTGTATGATAGCCTATTATGGCTGCTCTCTCAAGATTGCTTCAGAGTGTAATAGCCAACGGAAAGCACTTGAAAGAAGTAGAGAATACTGGATATTTTTGCATGTGTCAAATTGGGAAAAGGTAGCAGAAAGCAACTTGTGTGAAGATGTGTGTCTCTCTGGCTATGTAAGAAACATGCCAGGCACAGTGCAAGCACTGATGTGATTGATACTTTCCAAGTTGTACTGAGATTTCTCTCACTAACTGTCTGAGCAAATTGTGATTTTCTAATCTCTTGAGTTATATATTTATTTTTACCAGCCTTTTAATGAAAAGTCTTTCTATAATTGTGGATCACATATTCCCATAACTGAGCCAAATCACTTCTCTGGAAGACAGAGCCTCATATGTCAGTTCAATAAAGAGAGCACTGTTTTAAAGTCTATATACAGTTTTGAAAAAGATGAAAAAACTTTGTATATTACTTTTGCAGTATGGACAATTATTCTTGTATCAAATATGCTCTTTTTTTTCTTGATTCAGACTTAAACAGGCTGTGAATTTGTTAAGTATATGACTGCTAAGCAACTATCTGATAAGAGAATTGGAAATAATCTAGGGGAAACAGGTACTGTGATAAAGAACTCAGTATTACTCAGAACAGGTTGTTTGCCTGTTATCAGACAGTGCACCCAAGAATCAAAGATGTAAGTAGCTGTCTCGGTAAATAAATACTGTAAGTGCAATTGAGGAGCACATTCTGCTGTATTGCAGATCATTAATTAAGAGGACAAGCTATATTCAGCTATTAGAGAAAAAAATTGTATCTGTAGATACAATGTATGGATATACATGTGTATCTCTAAGATACCTCCATCTCTTACATAGTAAGTTTTTCTTGAGCTGATGAATGGCAGTGTGGTGAATGGGATCTGAACTGGAGAGAGCTGTTGATTATATATTTTTCCTGGTGCTTGGTTTGAATGTTTTCTTCTGCTAAAATTAGGCACTGAGTGCTGGTAACAGGAATAAGATCTTCCTTGATCTGTGATGCTGCAAATGTATGAATGCTATAGGTTCTCCCTGTCATTGCTGAATAGTCAAAAGAGATCAATTGACCTGCCATTAAACCTGTTGTTTCTGTTGCTGGACTTACACAATATCCTTTTTTTTGTGACTGTCTCCTTTAGTATTACTGCTTTCCAGGATTCTCCAGCCCGCTGAATATTGTGCTATCTTTCTGTTGGCTGACCTCTCCTCCCTGTCCTCATAATGCGTCTATGGCTGAATGGATATGTTTAGCATTTTTTAAGGAAGTTAGGTATCTGTTATGTAATGCTAAGATCATGCTATGTGTTGTGCCAGGATGTAAAAATGTAAAAAATAAAATATTCATAATATTAAAATTCTGTTGTATCTTCTGCAAATGTATGCTATTTGGTCATTGTTTTATGAAAACTTCTAAAAAATGCTTGGATTTTGCTTCAGAGTGAAAATAAATACAAGTTATGGAATCTTATCAGTTTCTATGAGTTAACATCCTGATTTTGTTGGAAGGTTATAGTCTGTTTTACTGCAGCTAGCGTTGCACCAGTACAAATATATGCATACATGCACACTTCCCCCCAGTCCTTCCTTTTCACCCAAGAATAGTGCCGTTCGAACCCCACAGATTGCAGCAGTTTTTCCTCCTGCGTTCATGAAATCTGTGCAGATGCAATACTCCGTTCTGCTTGGGTTTGTGTGTGAAGTTTGAAGACATGTTGGGGTCTTACTGAATTACCTCATCATTTCTCCTTTCTTCAAATGACAGTATAGCACCTGTACATAAAATAAAAAAAAGTCTGGCTTTATCTGGTCTCACTTCATGGTGCAAGTTCTTCACCTTTAATTGCACATCTTATCATGTGACTTGCTTTACCTTGGTTATCTATGGCTGCTTTCTGTGCATTGCTTTGAATTTTCAGCCACAAATTAATTTAGCGAATAGAAGATTCTTGGAAGGCAGTCCCAAACATTCCAGATTATGAACAGTATTAAATATATAAAATCTGAATCCTAACACTGCTGAATAAGAGGATCTTCCCTCTGATTTGCTCTAGCCTCTTGCAGAAGCCATATTTAATTCCTCCAGGAGATCTATGCAGTTACCAATGCTATTCAGTTCCTGTCATTCAAGTTAGCATGAGCCTTTTTTCAAATAAATAAGTCAAATTGTTCAAGTGCACGTGATACTACAGTTTTGTCATGCCTCTGTTCTTTAAAAGAAGCTTCACAAATTTCTCACTAACATCTGCATTTTATTATTATTAGCCAGCTAAACACTATTTTCTTGCCCTAAAAAATATGCTCAGCAATAGCTTGGCTGTCATTAGGTGGCTGACTTGATGAGCTGAATGGAGAAATGCTGAATTATTGATGTCCTTTGGCTGTTGATCAAGTAGTGTAATGCATACAAGTGGTTAGCTTGCATTTTTAATCCAGGATGAACTGACACAGGTTGCCCAAGGAGGCTGTGGATGCCCCATCCCTGCAGGCATTCAAGGCCAGGCTGGATGTGGCTCTGGGCAGCCTGGGCTGCTGGTTGGCGACCCTGCACGTAGCAGGGGGGTTGAAACTAGATGATCATTGTGGTCCCTTTCAACCCAGGCCATTCTATGATATAAAGGTTCATTTCTCTCAAGTAATTATTGTATGTGCTTTGCATTGCATTTACACGTGTAAAATCACACTGACATATGCATTGATAAGGATGGCCTAGTGTATTCCTTTCTAAGATGGGAAAATTACTGTAATTCTGTTCTGTATGGAGCACAGTGTTTTGTTAAAGTAGTTTAGACGCCACTGTATATTCTTGTTTCACTTTGAGCATTTGAGCAACATCAAGCTGCACTTGAATTTAAACTGAACAAGGCACCATATATTTTTCAGACACATCTTCAGCCTGCTACTGGCTGTTCTGCATGTAGTTAACACAGAATTGAACCTGATTTCCTAGCCATTAAAAATATCTTTCCATGCAGAACATAGGTAATTTACTATAGAAAATCATTTGGTTAAGTTGGCATCATCTGTATGAGCAGCAGAACAAACATGATTTAATAAATTTGTTCCATTTTCTCACTTTTCTAAATGGATTAGTCCTCTGTGCAATACTTTCTACATGATAATTCTCTAGGACAATAAACTTCTTGTTTGCTAAGCGCTTCTACCACTTAGCAGATGTTCTTTCTTGAAGCCTCTTAATAGAAAACCACCTGGTGTGGATATAGTGTTGTAATAGCTGTCTTCATTTCCTCTCTGAAGGAACAGAGGAACACAGGAAGCCTGCAGCAAGCAGCTGTTTCCATGATCTAAACAGAAATTAAAATTTCAATTCTATGTTCATGGGTGTTTGAAGGATGTATTCTGCTGAAAAGTCCATCATGAAGTAGTTTCTTTCTGTATTGCTCTGACTCAGCTGTAGATGGTGCACCACAGTTTCTTGAAGTCCTATTGGCCACCCAAATGCATGAATGCATATACATCTGTTTATTCACCATCATGCCCATTCATAGATTTCTCATAGCTTTATTCTGTAGCTCTGTTACTCAGTCTGTGTCCTATGGAGCAGTTGCTGTGTACAAAGTGCTAGCTCCTGATACTTTTTGTAGTACTTTCTAAGAAGTATCAATTGAACTAAAATACTTTAAATCTGATTTACTTTTTATACACTAAGCACAGTGTCTGATCTTGGTGATCTTGTGTTATATATTGAACTACAGCTCCTCATTGCTGAAATGGATGCATGACTGGAGAGAATGAAGTACTGTTTCAGGTGACTGGGGATAGCAGAAAACAGTGGTTTACTTTGTGTGCTGGCTTAAGAACAGCCTTGGTTTATGCAGTTGAATGCAGGCACAAATGCATATTTCAACTGCCATTTCAATCAATGAACGGGGAAAGGAAAGATTTTAGCCCCTTTTTGTTGTCTCTCATAGTCCAAATTTTTTTTGGATGCGAACTACTGGACTCCTACTGCACAACTGTTAATCTAGGCTAAAAGTTGCTTCAGTGTATCCCTAAGACACAGCTGCTTTGAATCCTTGGCCCTGCTTAGTGTTTCTGAGGTAGGTGGGAGAAACCCTTCAGCATAATAGATGCAATTTCTACCAGAAAAATCTGAGGTTGTTATTGCATCAAATGCAAGCTTAAGTGTGCAGAAAACAGGTCATATCTTCCTAATGCTGCTCCTCTCTCCATTAGGTGAATCTTTTAAGAGAAGAACAACAAAAAAAGTTTCATGTCTGAAATGTTCAAAGAGCTTCAAAGAACTTATTTCTTATTGTGACATGTTTTCCAAATTAAGTACTTCCTTTGAACTTTGCTGTTCTTCTGGCTATGATTTCTTCCCCTTTCCTGCTTTGTTGTGTGTGTGAAATGTGGATTGATTCTTTCCAAATGGCAACTCACCGTTGCCCAAATTCATGCAGTGCTTTGCCAATTTATGCAATATGCCTTGACTAGAAAGATACTGTACTGTTTAGTGAAATCTGACTGCTTTGTTTTTAAATTTCATTAATATTATCTATTTAAGAGAAATTGCCTAATTATCACAGCTATTTCAATGATTTTGTCTCATTTGACCAACACACAGAATTGCCTCTGGTTTAAAAACAAACAGAAGTTAGCAATTTGGTCTGTGGTGCATTCTGTCTACCCAAATGAATTAATTCTTTTTCTGGCTTTGTATTTCTCCTTGGTGAGATTAGATATATGCCATTATGCAGCAGACATGGCTACTAGTGAACACATTGTGCCATCCCATGTTT